TTTGCGTTTATTCTAGCTGGCTTAAAATGTTAAATGTCGGCGAATTTCCCTGGAGTTGGGACCGCACTAAACTTTCGAAAGAGAAAGAAAAATTCGCCGTCGTGTACTTACGTTCTCCATAGCAAGTGGCAAAAGGAAATTTCACGTCGTGGTCGTGTAGTGACGACAAAAAAATGTACCAGAAAGTGTGCTGAAAGTGTAAGATTCTAGTTTGCGCGTTAAACCTAATGCTTTTTTGACATTCTCGTTGTCATCACGGTCATCGTTGCTAAAGCTCCCTAAGTTTGAGACGACAAATAATGATGTATGATTTATCAGGTTAACGAACAAATGTACCACAGAGGGGCTCCGGATACAGGTATTTATTGGTTTAGCAGTGGACACAGTACCTGCATTGAGCGTCTTCATAATTTTCTTGTAAGATCCCATTTCTTCAGGTCCCACGAAAACAACACTTAAACCTTCTCTGCTGGCTCTGGCTGTACGGCCGCTGCGATGTATATAAATCTGTAACACAGCACAATGTAGAAAAATTAAAGGTTTAAACCTTAATCATTGCAGTAAAAATGCTTATATCAGAAATTTAAACTCAGAAAACGTGAAATTAGGCAGTTTCACGTCGTAGTCGTGCAGTGACGGTAAAGAAATGTACAAAAAAGCGTGAGAGTTGTTGTTTTGCTAATCAAAACCTATTCCTTATTTGCCGTTCCCGTTACCGGTCTTTGCCTAAACTCCCTTTAAAGCTAGTAAGCTTGACAAGAATGAAAAAGACAAAATGCTTACGTCAGGATCCTTGGGGACTTGATAATGAATCACGTGTTCAACTGCTGGGATATCCAGACCTCTCGCGGCTACGTCTGTGGCGAGAAGCAAACCAGTAGAGCTTGACTTGAATCTACAAAAAATGGAAAAAGAGAAAACGAAAAAAAGATTAAAAGAAAAAGGAAGTAAAAAGGAAACAAAAAGTTCCAGACATAAGCAAATGAAATACCGGTGAGTTGAGAATATGTGAGAAATTGTTACACATTTCATTTGGAAATTCATAAAGAAAACAAATTATGCTTGCCTGTCCAGGTTCTTAAGTCTTTGTCTTTGTTGCATGCTAGCATGCAGAACCCAGGGATCAAAGTTCAACAGCCTGAATAAGGAACCTAATCTCCTGATGCAGTCAACCGTGTTGGAGAATACCAGCGTGCGGCCTGGGTACCGAGACAGGAAATAGTATAGGTACAGATCCTGTGAACCAATGAAACGCAAGGAAACGGTTGAATAAAGGCTTTTAAATAAACATAACAAGAATTAGTAACACCAGCTTTGAAACTGACGGTCGCAGAACATGGAGATACATGTACCATGGAGCGGGCGCCCCAAGCGCGGGAGAATGAATTAACCAAGCCACGATTGGTTTAAGTTATAATCCTCTGATTGGTTGATAGAATGGCGTGAGAATTTTTTATCAATCAGAAAGTGTAGCAATGCAAGACAACAAAATAAAGGATAACTGGTGTGCGGCGGGTGCCAAGCGCGGGAAAATGAGTGAACCTAGCCACGATTGGTTTTAGTTCTGATTGGGTGATGAAGTTGAGCAGGATTTTCGACCATTCACAAAGCGTGCAATAAAATAACAAACAATCGATGATAGCATTAGTGTTTCAAAAGGTAGAAAGGTTTTGGGAACTTTTCCGGCTGCAGAATACAAACCTTCTCCTCAAGGGAGCAAGATATCTTAGTTTCTGTCAGCGTTTCCACTGTTCCTCTCTTGTTGGTGACATCGATTACTTTACAGCTGTTCTTGTGAAGCTTGACTTTATCCATTAATGAAACTAAAATGCAATACTGAGAAGTTTAAAAGAAAATCCATGTCTTTTATACTTTTTGTCTTTTCAAAGTGATGCTAAAAAACAAGGGAATGACCTCATTTTGCTGTTACGCGTTTATCATGAGCTGAACAACTTTTAACTACGAACCGTTAAAAACCTCACAACCCTGGCTCGCTGTGACTCCGGCGAGGGGGGTTGGGGGGGGGGGGG